CTAACTTACATGCATGCATAATACGTGTCCCATGACACCCTTTTCTTACATAATTAAACAATAAATAAAACATAAAAATAATCCAAGTTTTTTTTGACATTTAACAATTCCAACAGCTGCTTGTAGACTGTAGCTAGTGATGGCAGTAGGTCGTTGGTGATGGATAAGGTTCAGTCTGAGCCTAAGTTCTGATGCCCCACAATTACAGCATAGACAGATTTTTAATACCAGTGGGAAAACTCTTAACTTATACACTAACAAATTGTGGGCTTCTAAGAAGAATATAGAAATGCATAAAAACCCTAACAATAGACCAAGGCTTCTAAGAAGAATATAATGATGCCTAAAAAGCCTAACAAATAAAAAACATGAACATCAACTCTAACAAACAATTTGTTACTCCATTTATCCCATCAAAAATTCAATTTTAGCTTTTGGCAAGCAACTTTACAAGCTTCTCAATCCATCTCGTATACGGTTTCTTCAAGAAATCCTCATAAAAATGTTGTTCGGAACTTTTTTAAGTGCAAAAAAGAAAAATTAATGGACCAGCTAGCTCCAAAGTTGTGCAAAATAACAAACATTGCAACTTGCATAGAATGGAAGAAGTACATGACCATGGCATCTACAATTGAACCGGGCATTGACAGGTAATAGATAACAATGCCTATAACAAAAACAAAACACTCCCAACTACAAAGAGCACAGTATGATATGAAATGTAAAACATACCTGATCCCTAAGCTGATTAAGTAAAGTGGCACCAATCAGCCCAGGCCCAATGACACCCACTGCTACTGATGTTTTCGAAAGATAGAATCTTGAATGGACTGCTCTTAGAGCTCTTATACAATCTTCCCTTTTCACAACTACAGTGATGTTGTACTCAGAGAAGCCCTGTGCTATAGCTCGGACATTAATATTAGCCTGCATTGCAAGAAAGTTGCAAATATCATTATTAATGAACAAAAAGATAGGTTTACAAAGTCCATACAGAAAATCAGTAGACGTAGCAGTGAGGAGGTGATAGAACTATATTTTATCCACAGTTGTACTTACAATATATGCATATTGGTGTCTATTGCCATTAAGAAATCAATACATTGGTTACAACAGAAAAGTGGGCAGCGAGATTGGAAAGAGAGGAGGTAGCCCAAACTTCCAATCCTGGAAAAAGCAACTACTTGCTCCTCGTAACTGTTGGTTTTGGGTTCTAATTTTAGGTTAATAAAGAGAAGGAGATTTCTACTACTTATTGCTTTCAAGGCGAGTGATCTCTATCCTTAAAGCAAT